AAAGTAAAAATAAAGAGATAGGCCCTCTTAGTCTCAGTCACACCTTTATCAATACTTAAAATAAAATATCTTAATTTTATATGTCACTATTTAAATTGTAAAATAAAAATAATAAAAGTAAGGGTAAAACTGTAAAAGGATACGCCCGTTTAGACTCAGTTACACCTTTATCTATAATTGAAATAAAATATATTAATTTTATATTTTATTGTTTAAATTATAAAATAAAATAATAAAAGTAAAAATAAAGAGATAGACCCTTCTAATCTCAATTACACCTTTACCAATAATTAAAAAAAAAAATTGATCCTTTAGTCCTGACTTAGTGGCTAAAATCTTTGGTCAAGTAAAGATTATTTTTTATAAATTGTATTTTTAAATTTCATGGATCTTATTTTCTCTTCTTTTAAATTATTCTATTAAAAAAAATCTCTTAGTTTTATATTTCATTGTTAAAATTATAAAATAAAAATAAGTAAATTGAAAGTAAAAAGATAGGCCCTCTCAGTCTCAGCCACACCTTTATCAATAATTCAAGTAAAAGATCTTAGTTTTATGTTTTATTGTTTAAGTTATAAAATAAAAATAATAAAAGTAAAAATAAAGGAATGGGTCTTCTTATACCCACTTTCACCTCTATCTATACTTAAAGTGTCTGTCAATAATTAAAGTGAGCTGTGCATTGTAATTAACTTTAGAGCATATTTAGTGAAGTTGGTAAGTGTTTTAGTTTTTTAATATTATTTATATTTTATAAATATAATTTTTTTTAAATTTATATTTTTTTAATATTTTTAATTTAAAAAGATTTTAAATAATAAAATTTGAAAAATTTTAAACTTTTATTTTTTATAAATTTTATTTTTATTTATTTTTTACCCAATTTTTTTTATTTTTAAAAATAATTTTTAATTTTTTTAATAAAAATTTAAATTTATAATTCATAAACACTATAAAAAAATAAAAAATTTAAAAAACCCTATCAAACATACTCTTAATTGGGTTATGTTAAGAGTAGGTAATTTATTTATTTATTTTTACCTCGGACAAACGCCTGGACCCCAGGTTGGCACTTTCACGTGAATGACCAAACATGGGCGCCTAACATTAAATAAGATTTTCCTTGTTTTAGATAAGATCTTCACGTGCTGTAAATTGTAATTGACTTTTACGAGTAACGGCAAATTAAAGGAACATTTTATTTTTATTTATTTTTTATTCATTTTTTTATTTTTAAAAATAATTTTAAAATTTTTTTAATAAAAATTTAAATTTATTATTTATAAACAATATAAAAAATAAAAAATCTAAAAAACTCTATCACACATACTCTTAATTGGATTATGTTAAGAGTACGTAATTTATTTATTTATTTTTACCTCGGACAAACGCCTGGAACCCAGGTTGGCACTTTCACGTGAATGACCAAACATGGGCCCCTAACTCGTTGTTTTAGATAGGATCTTCACGTGCTATAATTGACTTTTACGCGTGGCGGCAAATTAAAGGAACAGAATTGGATGTAATATTTTTCCCTGTTTTACAGAGTACAGATTCCCTCCTCAAAGTGCTAATTTTACTTTTTAATTTTTTAAATATAAATTTAATAAAAAAATTCTTATCAAATTACTTAAATCGTTAACTTACTTATTTTTATTTTATTCATCTAAGCACTGCATTATTAGAAAAGTTTTATATATTAAAAATTTCTCCATTATATTAGAAACCTCTGCAAACTCTTTCTTATATCTTATCCCTTTCGTATAATATACAATTCAAAGATAAGACCTGATCTAATTACCACCGAACCCTTAGGTCGTTGGCCCATCAACGACTCTAACTCAACTTTTTTCCAAGGGGATACCAGCAGCCACAACCAGTAAATGCAGAAAGGTATTTGTGAAATGACACCTCGAAGATTTTGAACCATGCACGAGTTACGTGTTGTAATTCTCTTTCTGCACTTATTTGTTGTTGTGGATTGATCATTAATAAAAAATATAATTTGTGTATTTTATTTCTCACAAAAGATTAGTCTGACCTTGAATTCAAATTTGAAAGGTCGGGTGTGTTTTTGGCTTTAAAGGGAAAACATAATTCATATTTTTTATATAGTGTAGAGATAACTCCATTGTATAAATATACACATTTGATACAAAATTTTTATTGTTAAAACATTTAGGCAAAACTTAATATTAAGCACTTAAATTTTTTTTTTTTGACATAAGCCCAAAAAAAAAAAGTGACGAGTAAGCCTCTTAATATCTTAATTTTAGCAAATTAACCTTTAGTTTAATGACAATAACTACATGGTGTCACATGAGTTAAAAGGTTGTCTGTTTTTTCTCTTCTGTGACATTCTGCCGAGCTTGGTAACGTGAGTTTGTGACCCGAGTTGGGATTAAGGTGATGTGAAGGGTTGTCCTTGATGGGGACCGGACTTTGGAACGGCACCACATTCTTTTTACACCTAAGTGATGATATGACAAACAAATATCATGTTACAATTGTAATTATTGTAGTCAACGTAAAAGTTAATTTATTTTTTTTTGAACATTGAAGAATTGGATTGAGGAAGAAAAGTAAATCTTCAGTTTAAAACATAGAATATGTTATTTTAATCCATGCATAGATCACTATGGGCTAAACGTAAAAGTTAATTTATTAAAATTGGGATGTTTAGAGATTTTCATGCACTTTTTGCAAAGACATAAGTAAATAGAAAGAATTTAGGGGGCTTAACCCTGGGCTTCGATAAGAAAAATTGCAAAAAGTGAAAATTATCTCTTCCATGTGCCTGTCATGGTTGATAACCCTACTCAATTTGTTAATTTGAGTAAAATAAATTTAATTTTT